GGAGCTTGTTTAAGGCCATATAAAGACTTTAATAACTTGCACACCTTTCCTTCCTGACTAGGTACTACAAAACCATCTGGCTGATCCATGTAAATTTCCTCCTTCAACTCTCCATTGAGGAAAGCTGTCTTAACGTTCATTTGATGAACGAGAAGACCATGTGAGGCAGCCAGTGATAGTAGCACCCTAATTGTGGTCAGTCTAGCCACGGGTGAGTAAGTGTCAAAGAAGTCTTCACCTTCTTTCTGGGTATAACCCTTGGCCACAAGCCGTGCCTTGTACTTTTCAATCATACCATCAGGTCTAAGCTTCTTCTTGAACACCCACTTACATCCTACAGGTTTGCACCCATAAGGACGGCCAGTGATCTCCCAGGTACCGTTAGCTAAGATGGAATCCATCTCGCTACGTACATCTTCCTTCCAATAGTCAGCATCAGGAGATGCATAGGCTTATGAAATAGTCCTGAGTGTGTCATCCATGAGGTACACAATGAAATCATCACCAAAGGACTTTGCAGCCCTCTGTCTCTTACTCCTCACAGGAGTTCAATTGTCACCCTCAATGGGATTCTCAACGTGTTCCATCGCAATGGTGGGTTCAGGAATTACAGTGAATTCCTCACTAGATGGAGTAGGTATCTCCTGATTTGATGGACTCGACATATCCGTCATAGAAAATATGTCCTCAAAGAAAGTTGCATCATTCGACTCCATAATCGTACCAACATGCATGTCGGATAACTCAGATTTTATTATCAAAAATCTACAGCCGATGCCATGAAAAGCATAGCCCAGAAGAACACAATCCACAGTTTTTGGTCCAAGCTTGCGCTTCTTGGGAATTGGTATATTGACTTTCGCCAAACAACCCTAAGTACGTAGGTAAGAGAGTTTTGATCTTTTCCTTTCTCATTCCTCAAACGGAGTCATGGTCTTATGCTTTGTGGGAACTCGGTTTAGGACATGACACGCAGTCATTAGCGCCTCCCCCCACCATTCCTTGAAAAGACCCGATGTGTCTAACATGGTGTTAACCATATCAGTTAGAGTTCGGTTCTTTCTTTCGGCTATCCCATTTGACTGAGGTGAGTAGGGAGGCGTCCTCTCATGGATTATACCATGTTCCACACAAAACAGATCAAATTCATTGGAAAAATACTCTCCACCACGATCGGACCTAAGCCGTTTAATTTTTCGATCAAGTTGGTTCTCTGCCTCAGCTTTATAATTTTTGAAGAAATTTAAAGCCTCATCTTTTGATTTTAGGAGATACACATAACAATATCTAGTGGAGTCATCAATCAAAGTCATGAAGTATCTCTTTCCACCTTTTGTCAACACGCCATTCATCTCATAAAGATCAGAATGTATAAGCTCTAGTGGCGCCAAGTCTCTTGCCTCTGCAGTCTTATGGGACTTGCGAGGTTGCTTAGCTTGCATACATACTTGGCACTTAGAGCCTTTGACAGTAGAGATTTTCGGAATTAAATTCATATTGGCTAGCCGCGTCATGCAACCAAAGTTAATGTGACAAAGTCGTGAATGCCAAATATCAGACTCATTGTTGTGGCAAACATTATTAATAACTTTAGTGCAAATATCTGACAAAGACAAGCGGAACAAGCCTCCGCTCTCATAGCCTTTTCCAACAAATTGTCCATACTTAGAAATTACAACTTTATTGGATTCGAAAACCAACTTAAAACCATCTCGACATAAACGGGAACCGCTAACGAGATTTTTATTTATGGACGGCACATGATGAACGTTCTTCAGACGCACAGTCTTCCCCGAAGTAAAGTTCAGATCGACCATACCAACACCTCGAACGATGGCATGTGACCCGTTCCCCATCAGCACGGGTGAAGTCCCTGTTGCCTGGTAAGAAGAAAACATGGAGGCGTCAGCACAAACATGTACATTGGCACCGGTGTCAATTAACCAATCAGGGGATTGAAATACTGAAAGGATGGTAGGAAAAATACCGTACCCTGATTCCTTCATATCAATATCACCGATGACAACATTAGCGGACTTGCCGCTCTTCTCATGTTCACGCTCCTAAAGTGGTTAGAACACTTCGGAGCCCAGTGATTAGGATCACCGCAGACATGGCAAAGTCCCTTCCCCTTCTTATGAGAATTCTTCTTGAAGTTGGTAATGTGATGGCTTGTTCTTTGTATCAAACTTGCCTTTGCCCTGAGTTTTGTTCTTATTGTTTTTGAACTTGTTGGGCTGGGAGTTTTTCTTCTGTACCATGTGGGCACTAGAACCTCCCTCAGCAACTCGAGCATGTGTGTCCTTTGCTCTCGCCTTCTCTTCAACATCAAGAGTACCAATGAGATCCGCAACGAAAAACTCTTGTCTCTTGTGTTTCAAGGAAGTAGCAAAATTGTTCCACGAAGGTGGTAGCTTGGCAATGATGCCTCCGGCAACAAATTTGTCCGGCAACACACACTTGAAGTACTCAAATTCTTTTGTGAGCGACTGTATCTCATGAGCCTGCTGTACAATAGGGTGCTTATCAGTCATCTTGTAGTCATAGAATTGCTCCATGACGTACAACTCGCTGCCGGCGTCCGAGGCACCAAACTTGGCCTCGAGCGCAGCCCACATGTCCTTGCCGTTGTCAAACGACATATACGAATCCATAATGGAGTCATCAAGAACACTCAGAAGAGCGCCTTTAAAGAGGGTATCGATCTTCTCGAAAGCTTCCAGCTGTGCTGGATTAAGATCGCCCTCAGACTTGCCCTTGGTGGCATCATAGCAGCCCATGGTCTGAAACCAGTAGACTGCTCTCATGCGCCACCTCTTATATTGCGCCCCCTTAAAGGCAGGCGGCTTCAGATGCGCAGCAAAACCACTCGAAGTAAATTGCCTATAATCAGGTTTTTGGATTGTTGGAAATATGAGCAAGTTACTACGAGATTTAATCCAAATAATTAGAAGATAAATCATGACTACAGTAGCAGAGATTAAACTAATCACGCGAACTAACATAGCAGATGAACATATCACATGTAGGGCACATACTAGAAACATGAATTCTACCACGATCTCGAACATGAAGGATAGAATCACATACGGTGCAGCGGGAGCAGCACCGCCGGCGTTGACGTTATCGCCCATGTCATCGAGGATGAGGTTGCCGAGGTCGGGGAAGAAGTCGTCGTTCACGAAGTCGTCGCTGCCAGCAGTCGTGCGAGTGCGCTCCCCAAAAACCTGATCGCCCTCTCCCGTACAGGATCACGAGAGGCGGGGTTCCGGAGGCCTGCTGTCCCTTCTCCCGGTGCACGCCGAAAGGAGGGATGGAGAAGACTTGCTTGGCGGCGCAATGATCCGGAACGGTGGTGAGAAATCATACGAAGCGGCGGCGGCTAAGGTAGACGTCTGCCTGACTATATAGTGCGGGCCGGGTAGGTCGTGGGAGCAAACCCCACGTCCGAGTCGTCACGATCCAAAAGAATCGGAAACGGTTCAGTAATTAATGCGTCCGTTAATTATTAATTAATGACTCATTATTTTTTCCCGAGCAGCAAAAATATAGACAACCTGCATAGCTCTGTCCTCGGCTCGGCTTAATCCTGCGGCGCGGCGCGGCGTGGCGAGCGAGGAGGAGGAGCGCGCGTGTAGGTCTCCTCTTCTCATGCTCATACAAGTGGTAGAAGAGCTCACCTTATAAAGAGGTGCAACCCTCTCTCAACTTTCGGGGTAAAACTAAATTTTAGCCTCACCCACTCCACTCACATCTGTGCATGAATAGGTCAAGAGAATTTCTGAATTTTAGTTGGGCTTTGGGCCAAAAGGCCTACTAGCAAAATTCCAACATCGCGTTGCAGTAGTTTTCTGCAACACGGGTCATGTTGCATAATTTTTTGTAAATAAAAGTTTTGTTACAAAAAAAATTTTTGCAACTGAGATCTTGTTGCAATTTGTTTACAACTAAGGTCTTGTTTTTTTTTTAATAGTTGTTGGGTGACGTATTACATCCTGCAACATCTGCCGTGTTTTAGTAATCTCCGGCGGGTTGTAGAAATAGCAACGGTGTGCTGGAATCTTGCCTTGCGATGGTGAGAAACCAACAGAAGGAAAGAAGAAAATGACACGTGTTGTTCGATAGAGGTGATGCCTGCGTTGTAATCCGTCGGTTGAAGGGGAGGATTTCCCATGTAAATTTGTTTTTATCGATCTTTCCATTGCATTGACTATTTTTTTCTTTGATGATTATCAAATGTAAAATGCCCTTTCAATGTTTCTTTCTAAGCGGTCATTACCCAAGACGGCCTGCCTCCTCCTGTAGAAAAGTCTAGGGTTCCTCTGCATCCTGTCGGCGCTACCGTCAGTCCGCCTCATCTTCGGTGGCGTTAGGGCCATGGAGGCGCGATGGATCTCGTCCCTTACCGGCGGGAGGGCTCTGTTTTCATTTATTTCTTTGTGTTCTGTTAGCGTTTGTGTCCTGTTCAAAAAGATGAGACGGCGACGGCTCCTGGAGGATGGAATAAGGTTTTCTCTGACTAGTCCCCATCCGGATGGTGTGTCTAGCATCATCGATGAGTGTGTGGAGGTGTCTCCGGCGGATCTGTCTTTGGTGAATTTGCTCGGATCTAGTCGTAGTTCATCTACATTCATGTGTTTTTAGGTTGGATCCTTCCAATCTACGCTACTCTTCATCAGCGAGGGTTGTTGTTCTTCTACATTGGTCCTATAAGGCCTTAGCACGATGACTTCCCGATGTCTACCACAACAAATTTCGCTCGACTCCAGCAAGGGAGGGGGCAATGACTGCGGCGCGCCTTCGGCTCGTTTCAGTGTTTGTAGTCGTCACTAGGTGGTCTACGATGTGGATGTAATTTTTATTATTTTTAGTGTTCGTTGTATCGCCATGATTGAAGATGAATAGATCGGAAGTTTTTCTGAAAAAATATTTCTTTCTAAAAAGAGGTAATATACTAAAACCAGGTACTCTAACATTTTTTTTTGCGGGAAACTGTCGATCTATTCATCTTCAATCATGGTAGTACAACGAACACCAGAAATAATAAAAATTAAATCCAGATTCATAGACCACCTACCGACGACTACAATCACTGAAGCGAGCCGAAGACGCGCCACCGTCATCGCCCCTCCCTTGCCGGAGCTGGGTACAACTTGTTGTAGTAGACAGTCAGGAAGTCGTCGTGCTAAGGTCCCATAGGACCAACGCCCCAGAACAGCAACCGCCTGAAGATACATGAACAAAGACGAACAAAGACCGGATCCGAGCAGATCCACCAAAGACAACCACCGACTAAATCTCGCGAGATCCGCCAGAGACACACCTCCACACGCCCTTGGATGATGCTAGACACACCATTGAGACGGGGGCTAGGTGGGGAGAACCCTATTCCATCTTCAAGAAGCCGCCGCCGACTCGTCTTCTTGAGCAGGACACAAACCCTAACAAAACTTGAAAAAGCACCTGAAAACGGAGCCCTCCCGTCGGCAAGGGCCGGGATCCACCGCGCACCCATGGCCCTAAGGCCACATGAGACGTGGGAGATCGGCGGCGCCGTCGACGGGAGGCAGAAACCCAAGCCGCCTTTTCTTGGAGGAGGGACAAAGGGAGGAGCAGACTTTTTCTAACCATCAGATGAAAAATTCTAAAAATATTTTCAGCATGGACGCATATCCTTATCTTTCTAACCTGTCAAGGAAATCACTGGAAAATGAAATCACAGTATTTCCAGCATGAGTGTGTGCTCTGGGCACTCAGGTTCCCCTGAAAAAAATCAACGTGCCAAAATGCACCATCAGAGAACTACCCCCTACTCCCTAGATCAGTTTTGTTGCATATACTTGTTGACATCCTCACCACACAAACACACGCTACTTTCTGCATGCATTTTGTCATCTGTGTCATTCGACCTGCTTTTCCCATATCTGATTCCAAAATAATTCTCCCAAGAATAAAGATTGTAAAAGTCATAAAACTCGCTCAGGCCTTGTTCGTTTAATCCTCCTCCCAAGGGGATTGGAGTGGATTGGAGAGGATTTTGGCTTGTAGGGGATCTAATCCCCCTCAAACCCTGCCATTCCCCTTCAAAAACTACCTCAACCGAACAAGGCCTCAAGGAGTTGAAGCTGGTGCCAAGAGCAGGTTTGATGACATTTTCTGTCGGGTTCTCTCTTCTCTGCGAACCCCCCTGTAGATTTCTCCAGGGTGCCTACTCTGCTCGGACAATGGGTCCTTTCTGGCGGAACCGAACCAGCTCTAATTCTGCAGCCGGCAAAAACAGATGTTCAGCAGTGAAAATATGACGCGTCTACATTTGCAAATTCAATGTAACTAGATACAGATAGTACCAGAATCAAGCTCAGTGCTAAACAGCAGTGCAGGGAATTTGTTCACACGCTAACAAGTACTAACCTCTTCGTCCAATCAGGGAATTTTGTCACTGGATTCTGCCGTTCCCGCGACAACAGTCAGAGCCCCCTTCCAATCTCGCCGGCTGTTCGCGGATCGCTCCTGTCATCTGCAATAGTCCTACTGATGATGGCTCTGCTGCGGCTCCACCGACGACGCTCGCGTCGACTGTATCACATGGATCGATCAGGGTCTCACCATCCCCCATCGCTTCAAGAAAAGGGAACCTGGTTGCATCTCCCTGAGAATAAGAGATATGCCTGAATAGGGAGGCAAATGAACTACGGCACAGCTTGAACATCACTTTACCTGTCAACAGGATCCAGCAAGAACTCCATCTTCCTCTACAGACCTCGACTCGATTTCCAGCAGCCCAGATTGCAGGAGCATGTGTGCTTGGGCTTCAAAACACCCTCCCTACTTCCTAGACTGATTCCATCAAACTAGAGCCAGGAAGTTTCTTTGAATCGCTTCCGTTAGCGCTAGCCCTTAAATTAGCAGATTCATTCCACTGTCCTTCCTGTACATACACTTCTGAAATCAAAGCACAAGTACCTGGGTCCTGTGGTCCGTGCTCAAGGAGCTCTTTGCTTATAATATGCCCAAGCAGTGTATTTCCATATGTTCTGCAAGCAGAGAGGAGAGCACAATACATGCTTGATTTATCAGTCAACGACAATAGCTTTATAAACTTGTATCCTTCTTCTAACTGTCCTGCCCGACCCAATAAGTCAACTATGCAACCATAGTGCTCTTCTTGTGGATGAACTGAATACAGCGAAATCATTGACTGAAAAATACACCAACCCTCCTTAACAAGGCCAGCATGACTGCAGGCAGAAAGCACAGAAGTGAATGTTAACTCATCAGGCTTAATTTTTTCCTCTTCCATTTGCTGAAACATTTCAAGAACCTTAAGATAAAATCCATGCATCCCATAAGCACTGATCACCGCATTCCATGAATCCAGGTTTTTGTGTTCCATACTGAAGAAAAGAGCTTCTGACAAATCCAACCTTCCACATTTAGCATATGCAGTTATCAAAGAATTTGCGGTAATTGTATCTTTCTCCATGGAGGCATGGTAAACAAAGCATTGAATTTCTTTTACACCCTTCAGATGTCCAAGCTCAGAAACAGCCTGAACTGCATACATAAGAGTGACAGAATCGGGCTTCTCCCCGTCTTGCTGCATTAATTGACATAATCGAACAACCTCATCTGCACACCCAAAAGATAAGTACCCCTTCATCATGGCTGTCCATGAAAACAAGGTTTTCTTTTCCAATGAGTCAAATACAATCTTTGTTGCGACAATTTCTCTGCAAATTGAATACATATGCAGAATTTGATTTGCAATGTCCACATCTGAAGAAAAGCCATGTCTAATTGCAAATCCGTGAATCCACCTTCCTCTTACTAAATCCCTTTGATCAGCAAAAGCTGCGAGCAGGCAAACAACAGTTGCAGAATTTGGTGCAATACATTCTTTCATCATGTGATTGAGTAATGTGGTGGCTTCATCTGCCAGGCCGTTTTGCAGATAACCATGTATCATCACGTTATAGGAGACTGCATCCTTAACCGTCAGTTGATCAAAGAGATGCCTGGATCTCACAACTCTTTTGCACTTGGAGTACACCTCGATAAGAGCAGTGGCCAAAACAAGATCCAGGGCTATAGTTCTTCTGATCAAGTAGGCATGAATACTAGCAGCATAGCCACAATAGCATAATTCAGCACAAGCAGAAAGCACATTTGCAAAGGTTACTGAATCTGGAGTTACTTTATGATGATGAAGCATAACAGAAAAATACTGGATTGCATCCCTACTCTTTTGAGTTCTAGTAAGACCAGAAAGCACAGCGTTCCACGAAGCCACGGTTCCCTTCGAATTGTTCAAAAGAGCATATGCTAATTGATAAGCTCCACATCGAGCATACATGTCAACAAGGCTTGTCTCTAGGACTTCATCTGAGACGCCAATTCCTCTTCTTATGGCATAGTTGTGCATTGATTTACCCAGTCGGAAGGCTTCCAAATTCCCAGCAACTTGCAATAAGCTTACCAGTGTCACACGGTTTACTTCCAAGTTATTCCTTATCATTTCACTGGCAATTTCGAATGCATTCCACGCAGACGAATCCACTACATCAGAATAGCCAGAGATCATTGAAGTGTAAGCAACAATATCCTTCTCAAAGATCTCTTCAAACACTCGCTGTGAATCATCAATCTTGCCAAGCTTGGAGTATAACCCAATCAGCGAGGAACCGACAAATTTATCCCCACTCAGGCCAAGCTTCAGCGAATCTACATGCAATCCTTTGCCCAAAAACAAATTCCTGAGCTGAGTGCAGCTCTTCAAACCAAATGTAATAGCTTTCTCATTCAAACAAAACTGAAGCAACTTCAATCTTCTGTACAAAAGAATAACTTCCTCCAAGTAACCAGCTCTGAAATAATCAACCATGGCAGAATTCCACAGGGCAAGATCGCCATTCACAATACTCTGGAAAACAAGCCTTGAATCGGGCAAGGCGCCTAAATGTGCATACAAGCCAAGAATCTTAGATCCAAGGATCGCATCCCAGCCAAGTCCGTGTGCCAAAACACGAGCATGCAGCTTCTTTAGAGACCGAACATCTGAACAGCTTTGGACCAGCAGAGCAAGCTTTTCAGCACCGCATACCTTCTTACTAGAACCCACAGTTGTACCACTGATAGATCCTGATAGCCTCCTAGCCGGCACTATAATCTTAACGAGCTTTGACACAGACTGCATACTAGCTGAAGAAACTTCCGATATGTAAAAAGGAAGCACTCGAGAGAGAAATTATTATGCCTTTGATTCACATTTTTCACCAATGCTAGAATCAAAATTTGCTTTTAAAGAAAGACCGTGTCGCCTGCTATTTCGCCATTGCTGCCTAAATAAAAAATTCACAGTGCATCAACATCTCTATAAATTAATGGGTGGGGTGCACATCTAAATTTCCAGAACAGCTCAATTCGTCACATGACATTCAGAACAGGACACACTCGACATGGGCGCTTGCACTAATCAGAAATAGGCATCGGTGCAATGGACATACCTGACCAAAACTAGGGGTCCAGGCAGTGCTCTAGGGCGTTGAGCGCGGCGTGTCAGCGTGGGCGTGCCGCGTGCGGGCGGTGCGGCTCCAACCGCCCAGAAGCCGAGGAGGAAGAGCCTCGGGCCGTCGGGAGCGGGCGCGCGGCGTGCCGGTGCGGGTGTTGGGCGTGCGGCCACTCCAGTTGCCGGCCGAGAAGAAGAGGAGGGCGGGAGGCGGCCGGCCGGCGCGTGGGTCGCCAGCGGAAGGAAATAGGGAGGGAGACTGTCGACGGCCAGATGAGCAAAAGGATTCAGATCACACGGTGCATATCAAGGGCTTTCTTTGTATCTCAGGAATTTAGAAACTTAGGAATGAAAAAAAGAAGCAAAAATGAGATGTCACGTACAATGAATTTTTTTTGAGGGGACGTACAATGAGTTCTTGTAGGATCTATAAAAAATGGAAATTTTACAGTATGTGTGTCTTGAATGGTGCGCAGAAAATGCACGCAAGAAGATTGAGATAGAATGGAGATGGATAAAGTATTAGTGCATTGGACTTTTGAAAGAAAAAAATAAAAAAAATTAAGCTCATGTTTAGATTTGTATGGAATGGGGTGAATTGAAATGCACACGTGGTCGGGGTGTATTGAGCGCCATCTCCTTGCCTATTGTGGCCGAAGGTCGGGCTAGGCGAGTTTAGCTACGTTTGGTCCTCTGTTTAGGTTGAGCATCTCTTTCCTCACTGCTCCACGCACCATGCTCGCAACTCCTTATGTTTGTGTAGCGTGTTGTATATTTTCTTGTATTTTTCCTATTTTTTGTATCAATGAAAAGACACGATAACTTTGCATATTCATGAAAAATACAGACTCCATAGGAATCTGACGAACCATTCCTATGATCCAAAGGGTTTTTATAGAAAAAATTCCTATGGATTGAAATTGAGAGAAGTGCATATTTTAACCCTTAACTTTTGCCCTAGTCCAATTTACAACCTCCAATTCTAATATGGTCTACATTACAGCCCCGAACTCTTAGAACCGACCAGCATTAAGCCCTCCCCTTCTAGTTGACCGGTTTTGACCCTTGACCATCCAGTCAGCGTGTCAAGCCACCAAGCCTCATCAGCAGAAAAATTCAAAATTTCTAGAAAAAGCCGAAAAAGTCAGGGAAAAATGTAAAAAATTGGAAAAAAATGGGGGTTGTATTCTGAAAAATCTGAAAAAAGAATTCAAAATTCTGAAAACTCCAGATGCTTAGTACTGTTTTCCTGATCGTATAGATTATTTTATTTTTATTAGATTTTTTTAAAAAAATTATAGCTTTTTTCCTGATTTTTTATTTTATAGTTTTTTTCTACAAATTTTGAATTGTTTGCTAGCGTGGCTTGGTGTCTGGATGGTCAACGAGTCAAAACTGGTCAACTAGGTCAAAACCGGACAATGGGGAGGGGAGGGGAGGGTAGAATCCTGGCCCGTTTTAAGAGTTTGAGGTTATAATATACAACTGTATTGAAGTTGGGGTTGTAAATTAGATTAGGGCAAGAGTTAGGGATTAAAATATGCACTTCTCTCATTGGAATCCGCCAAAATGCCTGTATAATTACTTCAGGACTTATTTAATTGTGGGAAAAGTAGTGGTAGGGAATGAAGATTTAAGAGGTACAAGACATATGATCCATTGTTTGGTTGGGGCAAAGGAAGTTGGGGAGAGAAAAGGAATTAAAGAGGTCAATTCTCAACGTATATCCCCGTTCTCCCCGATTAATTTACGCGAGATGATACTTCCTTTCAAATTTTCACTACTATTTTTCATCCCACACCACACATGGGTTTTGAATTAAATTCAAATCTTTTAAGTTTAATCCCGCAACAAACTCCCTCTTGTAAACTCAGATCCCCTTTCCCCATTGTAGCCAAAATGTTGTCAGAGTGTTGGGGCCATTGTAAAGTTATACACGATCTTTTGTTGTCAATTAAAGCATGCCTTTGAATGAAAAAGTAAGTAAAAACCAGTTATGTGAGCATGTGAGTACACTCAAAATTGCAGAAAAACTTATTTTTTAGTGGACTAGGTAATTGCCTGTGCGTTGCAACGAGGACATAAATATTTTATAAACAGTCACCGTGGTTACTTGCCATACCATAGTGCACACGCTTTGATATGGAACCACAATAAAAAGGCATGAGAAAGCAATGTTTCAAATGAGTACAAATTCAACTATTGTTTCAGCTATGTCACAATGCAATGTTTCGAAAATCTTTTTCAACTACTATTTGAACTACATTTACAATAGCTACATTTCTAATGGTTATATAATTCCAATGGTGCACTGAGTTGAGCCATACATACACACACATGCCAACCCATACTCATCAATCCTCAAGCAACTGATTTGAAGATGTTAAAGTAAAAAAACTAGTTTGTTGCCATCAATCAGTATATATATTTTTAATGATCTTTGGAGGAAAAGAAAGCATTCGAAAGTCTGGTTAGTTCCTGCTCCTATACAAGAGTACATCTTATACACACCATTTTTACAGTGTGCTTATCTAGTAGTTCAAGGGAAAGCAATGGCGAGCGTGCCATTAATCTTTCCATAAGGTCAAGCTAAATTTTCCCTTGCAAATAAGGTCGCTACTGATCAACAACGGGCAAAATAGTTATGAATTTGTTTGCATAAGTTGAGATACCTCCATTGCGCAGCCCCAAAGCTCGACTTGGGAAAGCCAAAGGAGGTCCATCTTGGATCAACACTACCCCTATGACATAATCCGAAGCATCAGTTTCCCCTACAATAGAAGCATAGTCATGGAAGTGTCTTGCGATGAGCATCACTTTTTGTCCGAAGAGAATTTGTTGGAGGCTGAGTAAGTCGTTCATTCTTCCGTCCCACCAAATGTATTTTTTGGGGTCATGTGTCCCGTAGAATGGTATCTCAATGCTGTCCTTGAAGTCAAAGTAGCTCGTGGGAGTAGTGGACTTGAGCTTGGGAAGCTTCTCTTGTCCATAGTCTTGAGGGGCTTGTGGATGTCACTCTTGTCGACGAGTTTTGGGGGTGGCTGTTGTCGCTACACCTCTTGAAGATGTACTTAACTTATTGTACTTGTTGGCAGAGTCGCCAAGGCCACCATCATCCTTATTTCTTATGTGGTTCTCTTGCATGGAGTGTAGGCGATAAAGTTGTTGAGGCGCCGTCGCAAATTTTTCCACAAAATTTCCCTATACATGATGTCACTAGTGCAAATAGTAAGTGGCTAAATGGAGAGAACAAAACCAAGTTACTTCTCCAATCCTTGGGGGCAAAGGATCAAAGATTGACGAATATGTACCAGAGAGCAAAATGGTGTTGATAAGTGTTCCCCAACACACACCTACAAACTCACAAAAAAGCTATATGTGGAACTTGGTAAGGTTAGTGGACCAAAATCAAGCAATAAGTGGTTCAAGATATTGAATATCTTGAAATTATTAGGCAATACACAAATGAACTCAAAGCAATGCAACATTGATCTCAAATGTGGAGTAAATAGGAAACAAAGGAACACACGCCCAAAGATAATGGGTCTTGTGCAACCAAAGGAACAATCAACCTTTTTTTCCTAGTGAAGACTAAGCTCGTGTTGCACAAACACAAGAAGATACTCTAGCTTGATTGCATGTAGAGGGCAACGGATTCACAAATTTGGCACCACTCTAACCACTCAAAAACTTGACATCTACCTATATGAAGTATCTTTGGCACATGTATCTCTTTGGTCTTTCTCTTTTGCTATAAGCTTTCCATTTTTTACAACTTTTCTTCCTTTGACTTTTCTTTGTGCAAAATCCAAGATACAAGACTAACAATCATGAGATATGGCTAACATGTATACAAGATACCAAGTGATGCGAAATGTATATATCATTAAATCTTACTATGCGATGCTCAAGATAGCAACGATGTACATGATGAAGATGTCACTACAGTGCTCAAGTGTATGACCCCTGGAAATATTCAAATATATAGGCTTGATATGATCGAGGATGTCACAAAGGGTAGAATGACTCACCAAGGTAATGGCAAGGGAAGGCAAATCTTGTGATGGAATGGATACCTTCATCACACTTAACCTTTTCATGAAGTCAGGGATAACCGACCTTGCTTCCAATTGAAGGTGTCAATGGATTAAATGGTTGTAGTCGATGATAGCATGGACGATGTACTTTGTGGTTGTCGATGTAGGCAGTGCCTAATGGTCACTCAGTTGATGCTTGGGTGATGAAGCGATGGCACGAGTGCGGTGGTTGGTGGAAGTGTTGGGTGTCAATGAAGTTCCTCCAAATTTGTGCCATCCAAATGAGCTGGAAATCAACATGATGATCAATAACACGACTATCTTCAAAACGAGCCCAAGGATGCTCAAATCAGAGTATGGGCGTGGATATTATGGCCAAAATGATGAACGAATGTCGGCTGCTCTCGGGTCCCATGGGCTCGGGGTCCAGGAGCCCCAAGGGCATGAGGTATCCATAGAGGATACAAACATAGGGCATAGGGGTGGCTGAAAAAACACGACTCCGAAGGGAAAATTGAAGGAAAAAAGGGCCAATGGCCAAGGGCCAAGGAAGGTAGATGAAATAGTTTTGGAATGGATCCATGGATCAAAACCGACAAATTCGCACAAAATCTAACAAATCACAAGAAATTGCGTATGACTATTTTTGTG